CCCCCGGATATCACTCTTACAACAAGGTTACAAAACATTTAATACATTTACTATATGAGGAAGAAGGATGTATTTAACCCAAAATAATGTTTGTACGTAGTTACACGTTATGTAAAGACATTCTTTTTCTAGATAAGAAAAAAAATATTGTCCGTTAGCTCCTTAAAGCAGAACTATGAGTTGAGTGAAAATCACTCAGCCTCATAATTCAAGCCGACGTGTGACAATGAAACCGTCACACGTCGGCTCAATAGATCGGGAAGTGAGCGAACACATACCGTCGCTCCCTCACTTCTCGATCCTGTCCCTGCAGAGAGCCGTGACTGTGACTCATTTTTTACAACAAGGTTACAAAACATTTAATACATTTACTATATGAGGAAGAAGGATGTATTTAACCCAAAATAATGTTTGTACGTAGTTACACGTTATGTAAAGACATTCTTTTTCTAGATAAGAAAAAAAATATTGTCCGTTAGCTCCTTAAAGCAGAACTATGAGTTGAGTGAAAATCACTCAGCCTCATAATTCAAGCCGACGTGTGACAATGAAACCGTCACACGTCGGCTCAATAGATCGGGAAGTGAGCGAACACATACCGTCGCTCCCTCACTTCTCGATCCTGTCCCTGCAGAGAGCCGTGACTGTGACTCACGGCTCTCTGCAGGGATTCCCCCCTTCCCTGTCCGATCCTCCAGCGCTGACTGGAGGAACGGACGGGTACAGCTGGCTCTGCCTCTAGATAGGCAGAGCCAGCTGTCAATCACGCAGCTGGGTGGATCTCGCAGAATGCTAGCAGAAACTCCTCCTCGGGGCAAAGTCTCAGTATTCCGCGAGGTGTAGCTCGCGATATACTGAGCTTTGGGTCACGGGAGGACGCTAGTTTGTGTCCTCCTGTGACCCTTAGGAGAACTCTGGGGAAAAGCACTGACCCCAAAGTTCTCCTTTAAATGCTAGCAGAAACTCCTCCTCGGGGCAAAGTCTCAGTTGTCTTGGCTTTTTCCTGGCTGATCGCTATTTATTCCTCAAGATGTTCTGCTCAGTGCATAATCTCATTGGTGCAAAACAGATGATTGAGCCATCTAATCTCTATGGTCAGCCTAAGGACTTTTATGCTAATAATACTAAAAATGCTGCATGGTGACCTGATTGAATTCTTTATGAACACGGCTTAAATTACCTGATTTCACTTTCCCATTGGTGGAAATAGCGGAGATAGACAACCCGGTGATGCTGGTGACCGTCACAGAAATGAAGATAATAAGCCAGGTTAGCGCTATAGGAGAATTTAGCAGAGCATTAATATATGTATGATCAATGTGAGCTAAAATATTGAACATATACTAACCTATCCCAGCCTGAGCGGTGATCCAGGGTAGACGGAGGTACAGAATCACTCCCCAGATATTCAACATGCAGCGGATCTGGGTAGTGATAGAAAAAACTTGATTATTCTATATGTGCTTACCACATTATTATATGTTACCACAATATTCTATATGTTCTTATCACAATATTAACCCCTTCATGACTGAGGCCCTTTTTTCATTTTTTGCACCCATGTTATATTCCACATTTTAGGCCTGAAAATGAGATAAAACCCCCCAACATTATATATTTTCTGAATGCCAAGACCCTATAGAATAAAATGGTGGTAGTTGAAAATTTCACATTATTATATGTTACCACAATATTCTATATGTTCTTATCACATTATTATATGTTACCACAATATTCTATATGTTCCTATCACAACCACGTTTATTCTATATGTTCCTAAACAAATTTCTACTAATTTAATACTACTCATTTACAAGGCTTGAAAAATTTGACGGTGTCTCGCCAGTCAGTACAAAATGTCACCAGTCAGCATGACCGGACTACAGCCTTGCAATTTGCGTTAACATTTTTTAGGGACACATAGAGCTTTCTTTTGGTGGTATTTTATGTATGTTATGTAATGAAAAAAGTATCGTCAATTTTGGAGAAAAAAAAATGTTTTCCCCTACGTTATGTTAAAAAACATTAATTCTTTCCCATATGTTTGGTAAAATATAAAAGACGGGTTCACGTCGGGTAAATAGACACCAAATATGTCAAACCTTAAATTGTGCGTGGCCACAAAATCGCAATAAACGGCCACACCAAAAATTGGCCATAGGGGACTCTTTAAACGCTTTTAATGCTCATCAGTTTAGCGTTATCAGCGATTAATGGCCCTAAAATGATTGCTCTCACTGCGACATTCGGCGCACCCGACACATGTTTGCGTGTGTATGTGGGGGGCAAGGGACTTTAAAAATGTAGTGTTTTTTTAATGCTTCTTTCATTACTCTTTTTTTAATTTATTTTTTACACTTAACTTTATTGCTATCACATGGGGGGGCTAAGAGGCCACCTATGTGATAGCCAATTTACATGACAGGTCCTCTTTGAGGAGACATCAGGGGTCTCCAAGACCCCTCATGTCACCTAAGGACCCCCAGAGAAGCTGATGAAGCAGAGCTCTGCTTCACCAGCTTCTGAAGCTGGAGAGTGACAGCAGAATGCGGAAGTGATGTAATATACATCACTTCCTGCATTTGGGGACCGGAAAGGAGATCAGAGGGAGATCGTGTAACAATATCCCTTTGATCTCCAATCACAGAACAGCCATGCCGGTCTTGGCCGCATCAGGCACAGCGGATCTCGGGACCGGCAACGGCAGTGACAGCAGCTGCCAATACGCTTGAATGTAAAGCTCCCAGCCGGCCGTTTAATTACAATGGCCGGACGGGGAGCTACTCGTCCGGCTCCGCCCTCGAGAGGACGAGCGGATTTTTTAAGCCCTGCTCATTTACTTATTTGTACAAAATCACTTTTTTCATTTGAAGTAAAAAGCAAACATGTGTAAACTCAAACATGGCATGTGTAGCCCTGACTGGCATTCTATTTAACCACTTGAACACCGAGTCTGGGGTGGTAATCCCCCTTCCTGACCAGGCCATTTTTCCATATTCAGCGCTGCGGTACTTTGACTGACATTTATTCCGTCATACAACGCTGTACTGAAATTAATTTTATACCATTTTTTGGGGACACAAGTGCTTTCTTTTGGTGGTATTTAATCACCACTGCGGTTTTAATTTTTTACTATATAAAAGTACTGACAATTTCAGACAAAATTTATTGTTTCCCTACATTATGTTAAAAACATTTATTATGAGGTCATGTCAGGTATTATGGGGTCATGTCAGGTATATAGACACCAAACATGTCAAGCTTTAAAATTGTGTGTACCCGTGAAATCGCAAAAAACTACCTTACCCAAAATTGGCCATACCAGATGCTTTAACTCCTTAAGGACAAAGGCCTTTTCCATTGTTTACATGTTATAATCCACATTTTAGGCCTGAAAATTACTTAAAACCCCAAAACATTATATATTTTCTGAAAGCCAAGAACATATAAAATAGTACCCCAAAAACACTATCTAAAACAATTTTTTTGTAAAATATAAAAGATGAGGTTACAAGTAAATAGATACCCAACATGCCCAGGTTAAAAATTGTGTGCGTACGTGAAACTGCGACAGAATTCAGTACCCCAAAAAGTCAATAGACGCTTTAAAAGCCCCTACCGGTCATCACATGTAGAGATACATGTAAATATTGGCCTTAGAATTATTGCTTATTTTCTAAAGTAATCGCACCCAACGCCTGTTTACTTGAAGACGCGCATGCTCGCCGGGGCGGTGGAACTTTACATTTTTGTAAAATAATTTTTACATATAATTTATTTTATATTTTTAAAACAGTTTTTGGTTTTTTTTAGCTTTACTTCGATTGCTATTACATAGGGTGGCTTACAAGCCCACCATGTGATAGCATATTGGCAGTGACAGGTACTCTTTAAGGTGATACTGGGGGTCCAAAAGGCCTCTAGTGTCACCTTTACACTCTAAATAAGATATTGAAGTGCAGATCACACTACTTATTACTATTGTTTTATAGCAGTCCTAAATGAGATTGTGCTGCAAGAGAAAAATACATTTTGATCTGTAAGCAGGTTTTGTTCGCAATTAAGGGAGAATTATGAGGTGAGTGATTTCCACTCAGCCTCATAATCTGAGCCAACCTGTGACAATGAAACTGTCACAGGTCGGCTCAGTAGATCGGGAAGTGAGCCAACACATACAGCCGCTCGCTCACTTCTCGATCTATCCATGCAGAGAGCCGTGACTGTCACTCACGGCTCCGTGCAGGGATTCCCCCCTTCCCTTGTCTGATCCTCCAGCGCTGACTGGCGGAACGGACGGGGGAGGAAGCGGGCACAGCTGGCTCTGCCTCTGGATAGGCAGAGCCAGCTGTCAATCCCGCAGCTGGGCGGATCTCGACAGCAATGCCGGGATCAGTTCCGGCTGCGGCGTCTCAGTATACCGCGAGCTGTAGCTCGCGGTATACTGCGCTTTTGGGTCACGGGAGAACGCTAGTTTGTGTTTGTGACCCTTAGGAGAACTATGGGGAAAAGCCCTGACCCCATAGTTCTCCTTTAAGCAATTTTTTTAAATTAAAATGCAGATATGATAAATCAAACTGTGTGCCCTCCTTCTCTCCATATATATACATAAGTGTGTACATGTGCTTATGTAGTATTTTATACTACCTTACCATGTGGGCAAGCCCTCTTTAATAATCTACTGTCCCCAATTGGTATTGCACACATAGGAGGAGCATAGTGTGCATGCTTAGATAATGACCTAACTCTCCCAGACTCTAGTAATATGGCAGTGTTAGCACACGTCTCAGCAAAGGTGGCTGCATAAATATGCAGCAGCCACAGTGTCACTATGTAATTTCTTTTTTATGAAGCCCTACAGGCATAACACCACATACCTATGTATAACATGACCTTCTGTAGCCTCTACATACTATAATTAATTGTGTCACTAATTTACACTCACCATAACTCCTTTTATCCATCCGAACCTGACTGGTTCTCCTGCTGGCTTCTCCACCACATTTTCAGTCTCCCCATCCGGAGAGTCAACACTGGCTTCATACACGGGAGAATGCAGGTGATCTTCCTATGGAAACACAATGGGCAAATAATATCAGCAAATGGCTGAATACGTGTTGCTTCAGCTTCATAAGGTAGCAATAGATATTAGAGGTTTGTTATCTGACACCATCAGTTTTAGCAGCTTTGGGCATCAACTAGAGAGCCTGTTGGTTACTCCAAATTTTAGAAGACACCATCAGCTAATGAGCTAAATTAATCCACTGTATATCTACAGAGTGCAACAATACCCCACCCAGGTGCAAAGCGTGACAGCATGGTGCTGCTGATACAGAAATTGATGGGGTATTTAAAGTCATTAATGCATAAAAGAGCATCAACATTTTTGTATATGGTGTTATACCACTCTGCACACTGAGACCCTCCTTTTATAAGGGGGTCCCTTGTCATCTGGTGAGTTGATTACTTACAGGGGTATTGTTGTACACTGTGGATACACAGTAGATTCATCTACACTATCACTGGATTTGAAGTGTTGTCAGCGCCGACTGGATTACTATACAAGGACACTAATAGGGTATATGGACATTTTTTTCTGCACTATGAATATAATGTAAGTCTATTACACTAATGATTCATTATTGTATTGCACAATTGATAGATTAATGCAATTAGTGACATTTATATGGAGATTTAAAAATCAGACCAAAAGGAGGGACAACTGAGCAGGAGATAAGGACAAAGGGATTTGGTTCCAACTGAGGGACATCCCTCCAAATGAGTGACTATTGGTAAGTGAACAATCTAGGACAGCATAGCTGATTTGGAAAAATCCTCCAATTCAGCTCACTTTCCAGTCCAGCTATGTTGTCCTAGATTGTTCACTTCTCCTGCCTTCTCCAAACTATTCACCCTTTTGTAAAAAAAAAACCTTTTGTTACAAAAAAAAACAACTGCTCTAGTAATACTAGAGACAGATTGCATTATATAACTTAGTTTTGATCATGCTTATATTAACACTTTAAAGTGTACCTAGAGCCAAATCCTTGACTGTTCTTTTTGTGAATAACCCCCATAGTTTTATAAGCTGTCGATCCTGCCAGTAGATCTGATATCGTTCCACTTCCTGTAACAGGTCAAGCTGTTCAGTAAAAGTAGAATTTCGGAGTTGGGAGAAACCATATTACACTGGTGGGGGTGCTCACAATTATCAGCTTTTATTCATGCAGCCTGAACCTTTTCCCCACCCCCAGCACGCCGAAGCCCCAGCTAGTGTGAAGGAGGAAGGGAGGAGACAGGGAGGAGCCTCTCTGTCAATTGCTTCTCACTGCTAAGGCATCGAGATCGATGGCCTCAGTGTTTTGTTTTTTTTTACCTTTTTTGATTGGACAGCTTGGACCAATGATGCTTTGCCATTGGTCCAAACCATCCACAGGGTTCACGCCTCGAACACAAAGTAGAGGCTGTGACAGCTCTTGCCTCACTAGTTAGGTTACACAAGCAGTGGGGAAGCCCGCTGCTGTGTAACCTAACACCCTGTCAAAAGCCGAATGCAGCGCCGCCTGTAATTAACAGGCTGCGCTCCGTCCATGACAGGTTACATAGTGGGAAGGCTTTCCCTGCTGTGTAACCTGTTACAAGCCGATCTGAATGGAGAAAAAGCTATCAGCTTCAGACTTGAAGCTGACAGCTTTTTCCTCCATAATACTACCTGCCTCCTTTGACCGCACGTCCCTGGTGTAAATATTAGTTGTGGTTTGACTTTGGTTTGGTATTTTCTATTTAAAGTCCATTTAAAACTATACGTCCATCTAAACAGGGGTGTCAAACTTAACTTAATCGAGAGCCGCATCAACATTATGGTTTCCCTCAAAAGGTATCTGTAAGACTATATAAATGTATCTAATCTTTATCATAATTGCCTCTGCATTCGATCACTGGTTTTAGTAATAACTTAATACCTAGATCTGAAAGTAGAAGTCTAGGAAATGGCCTGGTGGGCCGGATTCGGCCCCTGGGCCTTGAGTTTGACACATGTGATCTAGGACATAAAAATGCTGTCACGATTTCACTTCAGAACAAACAGCATTGTCACTCAATCACAGGCAGTAGAAAAATGACAGATCTACTGGCAGGATCAATAGATAATCAAACTATGTTACTGGGGGAGGGACTCAAAATCTACTGTGTTAATTGCAGTAACAGACTGCATTATATATGTTATTTTTAGGGCTGTGGAAATTAAAGATTAATTTCTCGATTAATCGTTAAACTTTTTGATCGTTTAAAATTATTTTAATCGCTAATGAAAACACTCACCTCTCCGCCGGCTTCCGGGAGTCCCGTCGGCGATCCGGTGACGTCACGGATATCGACGCTCCGTCGGCTAACAAAGGGAAGGGGGGAGGAGAGCGGTGACATCGATGTCCGTGATGTCACCGGACTCCTCCCCCCTTCGTTAGCCGACAGAGCCACTTGGGCCGGTGAGTTTTCCCAAGAAACTTTCTGCACGAGCGCCAGCCAAGGCATTGCCCTATACACATACAGCACAGCAATGAAGTAATAAAATGAACTAGGATCACACTAATCCAGCACGTTATTAATCTGAGTTGCCCCACTCAAGCGGCAGCCATATTGAGTGGGGCACGTGAGATTAATAACGTGCTGGATTAGTGTGATCCTAGTTCATTTTATTACTTCATTGCTGTGCTGTATGTGTATAGGCCAATGTAGTTGGATCTGTATGTGCGTTATAATTAATCGAAATTAATCGATTAAAAAAGATTTTCGACTAATCGAACACGAACATTTTAATCATTACCAGCCCTAGTTATTTTGCCTATCGTTTCACTTTAATGGAAGTCGGTCACAGAGTTCACGGAGCCCCCAGAGTGCACGGAAGATATTTTACTCCAAATAAAAGTGCTGTCAGTCTGTACTGTACCACTTCCTGTTAGAGAATAATGATATACGCTTTTTGAGCTACACTGGTAAAGTTCAGAATCTTATTATTTAAAATAAATATGTTGGTGCATGTTATCTAATAAAACATAGTGGGCTGCATGCAGATCATTTATATACATTTAGGGCATACTGGTAATAAAATATGTGAATGGAAACTTGAGGGGGTCCGTGACCCACACTAGAGGAAAGTAGTAATCATTGTTTCCTCAGCTTTTGTTCTATAACACAGTTGCAAATATAGGAGCAATACACATATATTAAAAAATTAATCTGTGTGTTCAGATAGCCGCTCAAGGAACAAAAGTGTTACGAAAGTTTCTTATGTGTCATAATATTATGATATAAAAATAGTCAAAACTGGAGCAGACAGAATCTGGAGCAGTTGCCCATAGTAACCAATCAACTTCTTTCTTCAGTTTGTTCAGTTAAGATTTAAAAATGAGAAAGAGAAGCTGATTAGTTGCCTTGCACAGCTGCTCCAGATTTTGTCTGCTCCCGTTTTGATAAATTCCCGTCACTGTGTATTACCTACAGTGGAATCTGAAAGGGCAGTACATTCCCTATTCTTAGTGAAATTATGGAGGTGAGGGAGGGGATCAGTGTTGTGGTGCCACTCCATAGGATGACTTATGGTGTAAGTTAAAGTATCTCTAGGCATTCGGGAGATTCGCCTCTGTATTTGTACTGGTGACCACTGTTACTGAAAAGGAAAGTGAGAGGAATTTGAAAATTTTCAAGTTGTCCCAGAACAATGATAAAGGGAAATCTTTCAGTGTAGATACATGTTCCAGGGACAACTGTTTCCCATCACTTTGGGAGGCTTCCTCTGACTTCCTGTTGCATTTCTGGGGCGTTACCAGGTGGTCTACATGAAGAATGGGAGTACCTCTAGACCAGTGGTTCTCAACCTGTGTGACCTCAGGACCCACATTTGTCCTTGGCCATCAAGTCGCAGTGCAATAGAATGGTACTTTGTGATTAACGCACTGTACTAGTGTGAACGGGCCCTCGAAAACACTGACAGACACACACAACCACAGACACATTGTCACACACTCACAGACAGACATTCTCACACACACACTCCCAAAAATGTTTTTATTTTATTTTATTTTAGGTCCACCCAGTCTCTCTACCTTACGAGAACTGGAGTGGATCCTCAGCCTGGGGTCCAGTGTGGACTGTTGTGCTGTGACAGAGCTCCATTCATATGTGCATTGCTTGTACAGCTCCTTTGCGCGCCCTGTAGAGGTGCCAGGAGGCAGAATGTGATGTCACCATGGCACCTCTATATGACACGTAAGGGAGCTGTAAGCAATGCATTTATAGAGGGAGCTCTCTCACGGCCATAGCCCCAACCCACACTACCTCAAGTTGTCACTCGGCAGCGGGCAGCATATTTTGAATGGCCGCTTGGTGTGATAACTGACAGTGTTGCACTAGGGGGAGGCAGTGGAGCTTCTCACCTAGAAAAATGGAAGGCTTGCGGCGACCCACTTTTGGGTCACAACCTACCAGTTGAGAACCAAGGCTCTAGACTGACACCACCCATCAAAGCATTTTAATATTTGCATAACTCTTCCCAAGAGCCGCCCACTGTTTGAATCAGGGCTGATCGCTTTTGAGAGGGGCACAGACACAGGAGCACAACTGGAAAATAGGGACAGAGCACTGTCATCCTATAAAGGGAAGTTCCTAAACAGAGAACACCATAGCAGGATCACCAGAAAGTTGTAAATTTAAAAATACTAAATATGACTCTTGAAATCACATTAACATGTTAAGGATTACATGATATTTTAGAGACTGGATTACATTTATGTTAATTAAATACTTTGAGGTTGATAAATGCAGCCATCCATTATCTAATATCTATGAGTACCATTCGGCCCACACATGATGAAAAATGCTGTGCATATAAAACAATGCACTGGTCCTTAATATCTTACCTTTAGGATAGAGTGAAGATCTTGTAATGTAGGCCTGACCTTCTTCACTTCTCCAGTAACCTCCGTATTAGCGTAGTGGTCATAGCTTGGGACAGCATCGATAGTATTGTATCCAAAGGTCCTCATGTAGAAGGTGTTGGAATGGGTGAGATTATTGGGATTAAATGTATCATACGTTGACTCTTGCTGCACATATTGAGATTTGGTGTTGTCCTCGGTACTGATGAGCGAGCGGATGGTAAACCTTCCACTGGATGGAGCACTGTCCACTGGGGTCTCATCTCTGCTCTCAGCCATGTCATCCCCAGACTGGGTTCGTGGCAACCTCTCTTATTAATTCAGAGTAGGGGGTTTTATATTCAGGAAAACCAGCAGGAACCAAACCTGTAAATCACTAACCAAAATATCCCATAGTCAGCTGCTGAGAATATCTCACCCTGGGGCCAGAAAAAATTACTCCACATACACGTACTGATTAGAAAGATGATAAGAAGCTGGATTGTAACTCACACAAAATAACCTATACACATAACCTCTGCTTCAACAGTTCTTTCCTATCCCTTGATTGAAGTTCAAACCAACATTTTTGTCTTGTTGGTATTGGGAGATCTCCATGCAAGGTAAGGAAATATTGGAAACTAGATGGAGATCTCACCAACTGATGTCCTTAAAGTCTATGATAGGCATTTTTTTTTTGTTACGGATCACACTGTACCATACTCGGCACAAGTACAGATACTTTTCCAGCTCCAAGACTAGACTAGAGAAAAATTCAAAAGTTAGGAGGCAGCTGTCATTTGTAAGGAGCACACGGAGCTCCTGGGATTTGTACATCTCTGTATTAATGTATGATTTTGTTTTTATAAATATAAAGTGATGCACAGATACCAGTTTTGCAAATACAAGTACTGATACTTGCCCAAGTACTTACAGATAGAAGTACTGATACATTCTTGTTTATTATCATGTGACAGTTTTTCTAAAACAATACAGACTAATGATTTCAGGACAGTGGTGGAGTGCCGGAGCCAGGTCCCAGCTGCAACCGCTGCAACCCTGGTAGTTCTCATGAAAATGCCAAGTATCTGCACTGTTACTCGAAAAGTATCGGTGCATCCCCAATTAAAACCCTGTCACATTATATTTTGCTGTCTGTGTCCTGCTGGGGAGAATACCCCTCAGTTACTGTCTTGGAAAAGAGATGAAATCTCTGCAAAGTGAGGTGAGTTCCCACCAAAATATTTACTCTCATTGAATGAGTTTCCCTCACTTCTTGCTCTGGAGATGACAACTTTAAAATTTCAGATTTTCCCCTTTCTTTTGGTTGACAATGGTCAGTAGGACAAATAGAGGAATCATTCCAGTGAAGACACAAACAGAAATTAAAACTTGAAACAGAGGGGGATTTATTAAAACTGGACCAGAGAAAATCTGGAGCAGCTGTGCGTTGCAACCAAACGGCTTCTGTCTTTTCAAATCTCAGCTGGACAAACTGAAGAGAGAAGCTGATTGGTTGATATGGGCAACTGCTCCAGATTCTGTCTGCTCCAGTTTTGATCATTCCCCCCACAGAGTGTAACCCTTCCCCATTTCTATCCAAAACGAAATAAAATGTTTTACTTTTACATAAATTCAAGCTGTACAATATTCTTTAGATCTACCAACAACTATGTTGCACGAGGTCCTGTCTGATTGGATACAGTCATGCAGTCCCTCACATTACATAGTTTTGGCAAATCTAGGAATCAAAAGAAGATTGTATGGCCAACTTATGGTGAGATAAAATACCAGCATATGATCCCAGCCACAAGCATCTCCCAAAAACTGTAGCAGCACTTTTGGGTGAACTAACCCTAAACCTAAAATTCAATAGCAACTGCTAAACTGACTGTAAATGGTAAGAGGTGTTGTTGACTGAACTGAATATCACTTGCTTACCTAAAATCCAGTATGGACATTTTCAACCTCCAGACACCACAAAATCCTGGGAAATGATCATGTCAGATACATCAGATCCTGGCAGGCACAACTCCAGATAGAGGTCAGCTGTCATGTGAACACATCCTGAAGATGTTTCCTTAGTTTCTGCTTAGTTGGCTGGAGCCTGAAAGTGACAATGACTATGAATCCAGACATGGAATTCATCAGATGGGCTTGCATATCATTCCTGCATATCATCCACCTGCTCTGTTCATTACTAAAACAAAGCGAGTCTATAACACTTGGACCATTGGCCTGTCATTATAGTGACAAACCTACAATTTCTGTAATTCTATATCATTTACAAAGAATAAGCTATTTGAAGAGCAGGCTTCTGTATTGTAATTTACGTCATTCTCTTTTTTCCGATTTGGATTTGTAGATGTTTGACCAAAATAATGAGCTGGCATGGGAACTCTCGTACTTTGAAATATAACATAAGTGTTTCTAGCCCAAATGTTTCTTTTTATTTAAAAAAATAAGTTTTCCGAGGGGCGTGGCCTGGACATGGTGGCGTGAGGCAGCACTTCCTTGGAGCTCTGTGCCGTTAGCCCGGGACGGCTGACTTGTGGACGTTTACAGTAGCTTTTAACCCCATGTCGAGGGAGGGGCAGCCCCAGGGCACAGGTAGAGGACATCGGCAGCCGGATCTCTTGGAGATTTTTGCGCGCTCGAGACGGGACAGTGTACAGCAGTCAGAATCCAACATGGCGACCACGCGCGCGGCTGCCTCGAGTTCAGCATCCTCAAAGAAGGCCCTGAAGTCGCTCCAACTGCCCGTGAGTACCCCGACCAAACTCCCCAGCCCTCCGCTCTCGCCCATATGCACCCCCCTCCTCCACGATGAGGACTCCCTTCCCGGCCCAACATCCGCGGGAGTAGGCCCCAGACTAGAAGACCCGGGGGATTGGCGGGCCTGCATGTCACAGCTGCCCACAAAACGGGATCTGGATAGTATGGCCACGAAAATCGTGGATGCCTTACGCCTGGAGCTACATGAGGTCCGGCAGCATCTGTCCACGCTGGAGGGTCGGGTGGACGTTGTGGAAACGACCGCGGCCTCAGTACAAGATCGAGTGGTAGCCCTGGAGGCAGGTCAGGCCGCACATCAAAGACATATCACCGCCATTTACCTGCAGGTGGATGATAGTGAGAACCGGAACCGCAGAAACAATTTGAGGCTTAAAGGGATTCCGGAGGCAACATCAGGCCCGGACTTGCGGTCCACGGTCACGGCGGTTCTAAACCACTATCTGGATAAACCACCCACCGCGGAGCTGGAATTGGACAGGGTGCATAGGGCCCAAGGAGCTCGCAACTTACCTTCAGGAATACCACGTGACGTTCTCTGCAGAGTCCATTTTTACTCCCTGAAAGAGGAGATATTGCGCCAGGCCTGGAACAAAGGCCCCCTGGATTTCGATGGGGCCAGGATCCAGATTATGCCGGATCTCTCACGTCACACTCTGCTTATGAGGCGCACCTTGAGACCGGTCCTGGATGTCGTACGCACGGCAGGAGCAACCTATCGCTGGGGACATCCATTCCACCTGATTGTCTCCAGAGAGAATAGGAGCTTTCATCTCCATGACCCTCAGCAACTCCCGGACCTGTTCACGTTTTTGGAAGCGGAGGCGGTCAGCGTTCCAAACTGGCTTGACTTCTCCATGGACCGCCCTATACCGGACCCATCCACCCCACGGCTTGTGAGAAGGTCGAGGCCTCGCCAGCGATCCTTCCTGCGGGATACTCCTTCCAGGAGTAGGGAGGCGAGGGAACTTTGAGCACAACGATTGCTGTCGTTTTATTTTACGGCCTATACATTATGCATGACTCTGCCAGGTTTGCACTTCCATTGCACTGTCTGGTTATTCCCTGGTCCTCAGTGCCTCCCCACGGTCTCCACATAAGACAGCCTTGTGGGTACAGTGTTAATTTCATAGGCACGGGCCTTCTGGAGTAATTGTTCTCATTGGTTTGTTCAGTGTCTTAGGGGATAGGGGGTTAGATACGCACCACCGGTTGCTTACATGCCACTTATCAGAAGGGTGGGTTCATAAATCCCAGGGCACTGTTTTTGTTTCTGTTTGCTGGACCTGTGGGACGGGTTTCCTCACCTCTGAGGAGGTACCCACACATTGAGAGATATGATGAGCAGCTCCTGACGGTCCTTTCTACGGTGGGATGCTGCTCACGGGAGGTTGGTGTATGGCCACGAAAATCGTGGATGCCTTACGCCTGGAGCTACATGAGGTCCGGCAGCATCTGTCCACGCTGGAGGGTCGGGTGGACGTTGTGGAAACGACCGCGGCCTCAGTGCAAGATCGAGTGGTAGCCCTGGAGGCAGGTCAGGCCGCACATCAAAGACATATCACCGCCATTTACCTGCAGGTGGATGATAGTGAGAACCGGAACCGCCGAAACAATTTGAGGCTTAAAGGGATCCCGGAGGCAACATCAGGCCCGGACTTGCGGACCATGGTCACGGCGGTTCTAAACCACTATTTGGATAAACCACCCACCGCGGAGCTGGAATTGGACAGGGTGCATAGGGCCCAAGGAGCTCGCAACTTACCTTCAGGAATACCACGTGACGTTCTCTGCAGAGTCCATTTTTACTCCCTGAAAGAGGAGATATTGCGCCAGGCCTGGAACAAAGGCCCCCTGGATTTCGATGGGGCCAGGATCCAGATTATGCCGGATCTCTCACGTCACACTCTGCTTATGAGGCGCACCTTGAGACCGGTCCTGGATGTCGTACGCACGGCAGGAGCAACCTATCGCTGGGGACATCCATTCCACCTGATTGTCTCCAGAGAGAATAGGAGCTTTCATCTCCATGACCCTCAGCAACTCCCGGACCTGTTCACGTTTTTGGAAGCGGAGGCGGTCAGCGTTCCAAACTGGCTTGACTTCTCCATGGACCGCCCTATACCGGACCCATCCACCCCACGGCTTGTGAGAAGGTCGAGGCCTCGCCAGCGATCCTTCCTGCGGGATACTCCTTCCAGGAGTAGGGAGGCGAGGGAACTTTGAGCACAACGATTGCTGTCGTTTTATTTTACGGCCTATACATTATGCATGACTCTGCCAGGTTTGCACTTCCATTGCACTGTCTGGTTATTCCCTGGTCCTCAGTGCCTCCCCACGGTCTCCACATAAGACAGCCTTGTGGGTACAGTGTTAATTTCATAGGCACGGGCCTTCTGGAGTAATTGTTCTCATTGGTTTGTTCAGTGTCTTAGGGGATAGGGGGTTAGATACGCACCACCGGTTGCTTACATGCCACTTATCAGAAGGGTGGGTTCATAAATCCCAGGGCACTGTTTTTGT